TGTATTTTCTGTAAACTGGTTGATAGTATGTGAAAACTTGAAATAATTAAGATGATAGCAACATTTAAGAATTTGTGAACCTTCTAGCACCGTTGTGCTCAAGGCCTTGTTGGTTCAATAGAAAGCCTAAAAAGTTTTGGAAGAAGTAAGTCAAATCATTATCTATCGTACAGATTATTAAATGAAGTATTTTTGCTTTGAAACTAGAGGCACACTTAGATCATTTGGCTAAAGTAACATTACACAATCCTCATATTTAATCGCCAGTTATGTTACATGAGTTATTTGTTTATAAATGTTAAAAAAAGTATTAATTCTTATTTTAACAAATAGATTATCATTAATGACACAGATGAAAATGTAAAAGTAAGGCACATGAAAGTAAAGCACTGTTTATTATCAAACATTACTGATATAAATAATTTCAATGGAATGTATCAAGTTGGTCATTGTTATTGTTTAAGAATTGAGAAGTTAAATACAGAAGTAGCAGCAATAAGGTACTTGTTTATTGTTATTATCAAGCATTATTTATATAAATAATTTAATGGATGTATCAAGTTATTTATTGTTATTATTTGAATTAAACAAATGTAGGCAAGTAAAGGACTTGTTTATTATCAAATTTGCTGATGTAAACAATTCTAATGGAATGTATTAATTAAGTTATTGCTATTGTTTAAGAATTGGCTGTAAGTATAAATTATTTAATGAGATTAAATTTGATAAGTCATTTGTTAATTGGTTTTATTATAATTAAATTTGATTTTTTATTCATTAGAAACTTTAATAATTTAATCTTTTATACTGTAAGTATAATCAATATACTTTTGCTAATCTACGTACTATCAAGATCATCTATGTATGTTACATGGCGAAGCACTATAAACAATATGCAACATCAAATAAGCATCTATTCTAATTATAGTCATGGGTGTTTATTCATGATAGGATCACCCAACAGTATTTAAAATACCAATCAAAAACATTTTGCTAGCCAATCAGATTTCGAGATCAGGTTTAACGTAAAAGAAGTGCAAAGAAATCAAACTAACAAAAAAATGCTTATAGCTTAAAATTTTCCAATGAAAGTTCCTTCTGCACACTAACAAAAAATTTTTCTCTGAAAATTTTACTATAACTATAACACTTTAAGCCAAATAGTAACTTACTGGTGGGACCCTAACCCTAAACTAATTAGAAATGTTTTTCTTTATAGGGAAATTTTTTTTAATGAGATCACATAATAAGCAAAATTTTTTAAACTGGCATTGTTAGTTCTATAAGAACACCCTATCTAAAATTTTACTTTATTTGGAGATTTACCGATCAACTATGGTAACAAATCTATGTCTAAGATTATAATGTCTGCTAAATTTTTTTAAAAAATAATCAGACCATAGATCGCTTATTCAGGATCGACAATTTTATTTATAGAGGGCACTTATTTATTATAGGGGCTTATTATAATAGAACATAATATCATAGGCCACTGCTTACAGTACCCAGGATCTTATTCAAAAAATTACAATCACAAATTACTTGACATTTATCAAATCAGAGTAGTAATAACTTTATCAATATCAAGATATGAAAATAATTCATATGTTTATTATTTATTAAACCTGTATTGGTTTTTAAAATTTTGTTTATTAATAGTGGTCTGATTGCAAATACTTCTTGGTGAATGTAAAGTTACTAAAAGTACAAAGTTGGCGATTGTTCTAGTTCAGATTTCCTAGTGGGATCACTTTTAGATGCAGGTGATCTATAATTATTTGAAATCTTGTAAGTAGTTTAAGGATATTAATAGTGCGTTGGAGAAAAATTAAAACTATGTTAGCAATTTTTTTTTATATTAAAATGGAATAGTGCTGGGCAAAACATTGTTATTGACCTATTTGGATCAACGTTATAGACTTCTAAAAAAAAAACCTTTGATACATCGTTATTAATCTATTAAAAAAAAAAATAATAATACATCATTATTTCATAGTTATCTAATGTTGCTGCATGAGCTTTTCGATTGATATCTCAAGATAAAAATTAAACCTATTTAAAAACCAACTATTTGTTTGATCTTATTCTTTTTCTATCGAAGTATTAACCAACTTTGTGTATTTAATTTGATATTATCATATTACGATGTACTAATTTTTTTGTTCTTAGTGAGCCAACAATAATGGTCTGGCATAATTCATGAATTCGGAAATCTCATTTGCGGTGAGGAGCTACTCTATATAGTAAGACACCATTTTTGAGAAATACTACAAGCAATAGTCTACAGTAGTTATTTATTTCCTTGTTTTTGGTATTAGGATAACTTTTGATTAATATTTATTTACTTTACGCCTTAGAATGTAGCTACACTTTTACCATCGTTAACATTGTCACTTTCTATTGGTATCTTTGTTTGAATCATTTACATCGATATGTTCTGCTTTTACTTTAATTGGTGCTTCCATTGGTGCTTTCGTTGGTGCTTCTGTTGGTGCTTTCGTTAGTGCTTCTGTTGGTGCCTCCGTTGGTGCCTTTGTTAATATTTTATTATCTTTTTGTTACCATATTTTCTGCTATCTTCATCATCAGTTTTGTTTTTACCTTGTCATTATATTCATCTTCATTGCCATATCTGTCTTCATTGTTATATCCATCTTCTTCTTCATCATCATATCCGTCTTCATCTTCGTCGCCATATCCGTCTTTATCTTCATCGCAATATCCGTCTTCACCCTAATTACTATATTTGTCTCTGTCTTCATTACCATATCTGTCTTCATCTTCGTCACCATATCTATCTCCACCCTAATTCCTATATTTGTCTCTATCTTCATCACCATATCTGTCTTCATCTTCATTGCCATATCTGTCTCTACCCTAATTACTATATCTGTCTCTGTCTTCATTACTATATTCATCTTTAACTTTGTTATATTTGTTTTTATTGTCATATTTATCATGATTTTTATTATTTATATTTTTAAAGTGATTAATTTTCTTTTATAATTAATTTATATATTATACTAGTATAATAAAAATGTAATATATATATATAAATTATATAATAAAATTAAAATTAAAACATAAATTATATATTTATTTTTATTTTTTTAATATTATTATAATATATTTATAATGATTTTTTAATAATAAATATATAATTTTATAAGTATAATATTTATGTTTTTATAGTATAATAATAATACAAAATTATATTTTTACAATGCATTATATAATGCCAAGTAACAATGTTAATAATAATATAGTAATTATATAATAACAATATTGTTAAATTTTTTAAGAGTTCAGCAAAGTTATTATATAATTTGTATATTTAATTAAAATTTTTATAAAAAATTAAAAGTTGTTACTAATAAAATTTTTTATGATTATATTTAATTTTTATTAAAATTTTATAATATATATTAAAACATGCTTTTTACAATAATATAAAATTTAATAGTCAAAATATTAAAAAAAATTTTTTTTATATATTGTAAATTTCTTGTGATAATCTTAAATTCATTGTAGTAACAAGCAGTTTTTATCATATGATTATTATATAACAAAAATAATATTTAATCTTTAAATATATATTTTTTACTAAATATTTAATTAATTTTTTTTATTAGAACCAAAAAACTCTATTTTATAGACTTTATTTAAGAATCTAAAATAATTAATAAAATTTTTTAATATATTAAAAATAAAAAAAAGTTTATCATTATGATCATATGAAAAATAATCTATATTAGACTCTATCTTTATAGTAAAAAAGATACCTTCATGTGACAATGATGAAAAATCTTTACAATTATTATATAAAGGTATCTCTTATAATAAAATATTAAAATTGGTTAAAGATTCTTTATAACTAACTTTATAAAACTGATTTTGGAAACAATGTAAGAACAATAAAATAACTCAAAGTTTAGGTAAAATAGTTCATTTTACAATTATTGTATGAATCTATGCTTTTTGTTTGAATTATTTAAAATATTCTATACTGTAACTATTGAGTATAATGTGTAGTTTGAGTTTTTAGAAGTTAGCATAGTTGGTTATAATAAATATCTCTATAAAAAAAAATTTTTTTATATTTTATTTTATTCAATTATTTTAGTAGGCAAATTTGCTTACTAAACTGAATAGTTTAAAAAATAATGAATGATATATATAAATTTATAAAGATCAAATAGATTAAATATATATTATGTTTTAATCTTACATTTAAGAAGGTGTTAAATTTTGGCATTCTGCATATGTTATAGCAATAAAAAATAGTCTAACTAAAACACAACCAAAAATGATAGCACTTGAATCAGATATAAAAGATTTTTTTGAGAACCAAGGATCTTACATGCTATTAGGATCATCAGATTAGATAATCTTATTAATGTGATTTTTGATATCTATTTACTTGTTTATTCCTTCTATCTTGTAGTTACATGAAATTGATAAGTTTTTATATATTACAAATTATATAATGACTTTAATACTATAATTGAGATCTTATATACTAGTAATCATAAATAATGTAATAAAAAAAAAAGTTAGTTGAATCATATTATCTCATATAATTTTAGATATATTTGTTAAATTTTTTTATTTTATTCACAAATAGCAATATTTTTTTTTTTTTTTTTTTTTTGCTCTTAAGCAGCCACACTAGTACTTTATTAAGATTCTTGCAACTATATATAATA